ACAGGATACCTTGTAGTATCTCTGGTCTCTACCCACTAGATGCCAATAGCACCCTCCCCTCACCAAACCCAAGAAGTCTTCAGGTTGTCCCTGGTTCATACACATTATTTGAGATAGTAGGACCACCCAGAAGGTCTGAGGCTATTACTGAGAATCAAATTTCCCAGTGGTTCACAGCCAACAACGAGCTGACACAGAGGCGCAGAAGGCTAGCTCCCTGTTTCAAGAAGGAACAACCCAGGGCTAGCAGGTAGTGTAGTGTTTAAGGTGCTGGACTCCCATATGGCCAACTGTGGTTTGAGTCCTGGAAACTCACGCCGAGTGCATATGCATATGTGCCCAAATCCCTGAAAGAAGAATGAAGAAGAGACTGGTATGGCCATCCCCCTGGAGAGTGATTTCTCACTTTCTCTCTGTCTCTCCAGTGAGCATACATGCAATATAGCAAAAATCTTTCCAAAAAATATAAAAGAGAGAGAGAGAAGAAGAAACAACCCCGCAGTGTGATAGTGTGAGTTTATGATCTAGAGGCCCCTTTCCCACCAGACATCAAGGTGAGACTAGGTCTGGCTTGAGACCACACCTCTGCCTGACTGTTCCTCTTTACCTACACTGTTTCCTCCCTGGCAAGGGCACCCTGTTATGACAGAAGTGCGTACCCCCAAAATATGTTGAAGTCCATCTCCTCAAGTCCTTGAGAATATGACCTTATGTGGAAAGGGTTTTGGTAGATGTAATCAAGCGATTATACTGACTGAGGGTGGGTCCTAATCCATTATGACTGGGGTCCCTGTAAGAAGAGAGGAGGGACCACAGCACTAAAACATGATGCTCTGCAAGGCTGACCCACGGGGGAAGGTTCTGAGTTTATGCCTGGATACCTCCCCAGGTACACCAGGCTGGCTGAGATGGGGAGGGAGTGCTACGTCAAGACCCTGCTGGAAGTCTCTCTCTCTCTCTTTCTATCTCTGTCTCTCTTGTTCATGGTAGAAATAAATAAACTTAAAATAAAAAAAGAGGAGACATACACACACACACACACACACACACACACACACACACAACAGCAGAGGCAGAGAGTGGAGCTGCTACAAGTAAAGACAGGACGAGGACTTCGGCAAGCCCCGGCAGCTAGGAAGAGGCAAGGAAGGACTCTGTTACAGGTTCTGGAGGGAGCGTGTCCTGCCCACACCTTGGTCTTGGACTTCCAGCCTGTAGGACTGAGCCCATGACCGTGCTTCTGCTGTTTTAAGCTGCCCAATTAGTGGGGCTCTGTTATAACAGCCCTAGGAAGCCAACTCTCACCTGGTGCGCTAACTCAGGCTCTGCATCTTGTGACCCTGACTTAAGGCAAACGGCCTTTCCACTCAAAGGGTAAGCAGGAGATGGGCGACGGGGTCCATCCTGCCCTCAGTGTAGGTTTGCATGAGCTGCTCTCCCCGCTAGGCATCATTCTGGTATTTAAAGAGAAATATTCATGCACACAACCCTCCACCCCCGAAGTAGATTTCATCAGCATTTAAAACTCCTACTTAAAATAGATTCGTGCCCCCCTCCCCACCAAATGCAAGCGAGCACATCTTGATCCAGTTTCCAACACTGCCTTCCTAAGGGGTTTTTAAGTGTTCCAATTTGAACTGTTCTTTATTATTATTAACAGTATAGCTCCTCTATGAGACAAAGACAGAGACAGACGGAGAGACAGCACTCCCAACAGGGTCCTGATGCTTCCGCCACCCCCAGTTTCAGCCAGTCCCATGCATGGGCACATGTGTGCCTGCATATTCTGGGAGGTCTCTGGATGCAGACCAGAAAGCTTCCCCTGTAGGGGAGCCTCACAGAGTAATACGTTTTACCATCTTTGACTATTTTTTTAAAGAATGATTTTTATTTAATTTCATTTGTTATTATTTTTTAATTTGCTATTGGACTTGTGCACTCACCAGAGAGAGAGACAGAGAGAGAGAAGAGAGAGAGAAAGCAACCCTCCAGGTCCAGGACTCAAACCATGGTTGGCCATGTGGGAGTCTGGCACCTTAACCACCACGCCACCTGCTGGTCCCATATTTGACTATTCTTAATCACAGGGGCTGTCGCTGCACCTTCCTGACCTCAGGCAGGACACTACATGAGTTGCTGTTGATCATTCTCTTTCTCACTGGACTGGGGGGTCCCTCCCTGACAGAAACTGCATAATATTAATTTTATTATCTGACCAGAGATCCCTGACACATCACAGGACCTCAAGAAATTAGAAAAAAATAACTGAGCAAACCAGGAGAAGGAAGAGCAAAGAGTGATAGAGAGGGCTGAAGACAGAGAACATGAGTATCTGAAGGGTCTCAACCACTCTTCCTGAAACCACTAAGAAAACACTCATCTTAGCAGAGTGAGGACCATAATGAGTCACAGTGGATTTAGGAGCCAAACTCGCAGTAAGGGGAATTAACATCACAACCGCTCTCTACCTGGTAACGGCACAGCGACAAGGCTTGAAGCCCTGGCATGACAGAGCAGAGAACAAACTAACCACGCAATCAGAGCGGGTGGCCTGCGGAAATACTTCCATTTCCGATGGGGCTTTGGGCATGCACACACACGGGCCCGGCGTGAGTTCTAAGTTGCCAGATCCAGGACTCAAACTGCAGCCAACTATGTGGGAGTCTGGTGACATAACCATTACAGTATCTGCTGGTCCCAAAACTAGAGAATTTTTAGCATTCATCAGAAACATAGGTCCAGTAACCACATTTTTGCTCTGAAACTATCCCTAAACTTAAGTTTAATTATCATTATTATTTTTGTTGCCAGTGGACACGTGTGCTCACCAGAGACAGAGAGAGGGAGCAGGGAGGGAAGGAGGGGAAGAGGGAAGGAGGAGGCCAAACCATAGGGGTGTGTCAGGCTTTGCTAAGAAGATGACATTTGAGCAAAACCTAGAGAAGGTAAGGTATGTAGATGCCCAGAGCCTCTGAATCTCCTGGGTCTTTCATTGAGGTTAAAAATGGAGGTTGGGGGCCAGTAGGTGGCATGGTGGTTAAGGTGCTAGAATTCCCACATGGCCGGTCATGGTTTGAGTCCCGGACCTGGCAGCTTGGTTTCTCACTTTTTCTTTCCTTCTCTCTGGTCAAATTAAAAAATAATAATACTAAATAAAATTAAAGAGTCTTTCTCTTTAAATTGAAAAGTCTCTAGATAGGTGACTCAGGGTAATTCTTTGAAAACCCAGTGATATAAAATATGGGACATACACAGAAAGCACCTAGTATAACCCAACTGTGTGATGGGGAAGACGATCTGCTCAGAGGATTGCCCACGATGCTAGTTTGGGATTACAACAGACGCTGCCAGCACCCTGCACACCACCCACTCACCCCCAGTGCTTCAGCACACATGGCAGGACGGATGTTCCACTGCCAGCTCCGGTATTATCCGCATTCATGGATGACAGAGGTCTCTGCCCATCAGTGCAACAGGCCAGAAGTGCCAGGGAGTTGATCTTGTCTCCCAACAGCCCTCATTCAATGACTGGTTGGAGTTGGTGTATAAATACCCCAGCTCCCTCTCCTCTTTGCACTGTGTGTTTTACATGGCTCCCAGTTCCCCAGCAGGTTTACAGTCCAGTCATCCAGTGATGGTCAGCCTGAGGGTGCATTCTTTATGTGACTTTCCAGCTCCTCTTGGTGGGGCCTACTGGTGCCACCTCCCTGACAAATGCCTTCTTTGCCTCAGGGTCTTCTTAAGGAATTCAAACTAAAGAAGGGATAAATCTCCTGTCTTTGAAGATGCACAAGGGGGCTTCAAAAAGTACTGGAAAACAGAATTACTATGAGTTTATTTTAGTGCAAAAAAATATCGAAATCGGGCCAGACATGATGTTCTGTGAGGCTGACTCACATGAGAAGGTTCTGGGTTTGTGTCTGGAGACCTCCCTGGGTACATCAGGCATGTGTGTGCTCATGATCCAAGGCTGGCTGAGGCTGAGGGTGGATTGCAGCAGCAGGACCACACTGGGGGCACATTTTCTCTCTCTCTCTCTCTTGCTTACAGAAGAAAACATTTTAATTTAATTTTTAGAAATTAAAATTTTTAAAGTATTTAGTTTTTTCACTAATATATATCTCCATGAATTTTATGAAGACTTTCCCCATGTCTACACATTTTTTCCCTCTCTCTCTGACAGTAGAACAGTCCTCATGTTTACAAGCTGTACCCCTAAATGTGATGCTGGACCATTCAATCCCTGGCCAGTCAAATACAGCTCTGAGAGGCACTTTGATGTATTTGATGCAACATAACCTTGCCATGTGACATGGGACCTACGTCCCCAGTGTGGACGGCCTAATGGACCTCCTGCTGGCTGGGTTTCCCACTTCCTTCTACCCACCGTGAGTGGAGAGTTATCCTCCAACACACGGGGATGTCCAACAATCTCTTGGAGACCCGGCTGTATCCTCCCAACCCCCGGCCAGACAAGAAATGTAGCCTGTCTAATAATTTGCCTGGAAAATATCCAGGCATCGTCCTGTTCTATAGCCCACACCTTTCTTTTTTTCCCCTCAAATCAATTTCTGAAAGTCAAAATGATGGATAGCTTTCTACCCGGGACAATCACTCTCCTTATTAAAGAACCCAGCATCAATGACAGAAATGCCCCCAGGGTGGTAGTGGGAACACGCACATCTACACAGAAACACATGCACACGCACACACGGAGCAGTATGAAACCCAAGCGATCTGAACAAGGCCTGCTTAGTTACCAGTGTCTGGCCTGCTGTGCGTGGCTCACGTTCTGTGGTTCCGTAAGGGTCATGGCTAGGGGACACTGGATGAAGAGCACCCAGAAACTCTCTGTGTTATCTTTCTAACTTCTCAGTATTGAAAATTATTTCAAAGTAAAAAAACTTTGAACACTCTCCATTTTTTTTTAAATAATGAAATATAGAAAATACCATTTGTTTAAAGCCCCCAGGAAGAGATGCCACAAGCTGGCCCCTTACCTGAGAACTAGGGATCAACGCCTTCCACCAGTGTCCACCCTTCACCAGGTCGACTTCACACAAAGGCACGGACACCTTCCCAATGACACAGTGGCGAGAGAACTTATCAAAATCTACCACGGTCAGGAGCAGAGTCCTCCTCTGGGCTTCGAGGAAGGGGATCTCAAAGGTGTAGCGCTCCTCGAACACGGGCTTCTGCGTCTTGCGCTTGACCCCTGTCTGCTTCGAGTTCTTCTGGTCGGGCAGGAGACAGATCTTGACATAGGGGTTTGAATGTGCCATGTCCTGGCGTGAGCCATCGTGGGAGATGGGGGGCGGCAGGTCCCGGGCCTCGATCACCCTCACGGTGAGGTGGTTGTGCAGGAGGTCGTACTGGGTGCTGAAGTGCAGCATGCCCAGCTGGTACCGGGACAGGATCTCCTCGTCTGTCAGCGAGTCCACGTCATCGCTGCTGGAGTCGAGGGAGTACAGCCGGGGCTCGAACTTCCTGAAATAGTCGTCGGGGGTGTAGGTCCGTCTGAGCACCGATGGCTGGATGGGCTCCTTCTTGGCACTGAGCACGCCAAACTCGATGGGTTTAATATCGATGAGTGGGGAGCTGGGTCGTCGGGACTCGAGACCTAAACAGCGGCCAGAAAGAACAATGAAAACCGCCACGAATGGGGCAGACCTGGCCCCTCAGGGAGAGCTGACATCATCGTTCGCTCGGCTTCGAAATGCACTGTGCCACATTCTGGCCACACTTGAAAATTCTCTCAGTTGGCCTTTGAGAGGGAGAGTGGTGACATTCTCACTGCCACCATCAGCACAACAGCTAAGGGCCAGGACCGCCTATGCACAACCCCTCCAGGTATTAGAGAGTCACTATTATCCCACGTTATAGATAAGGAAACAGAAACTTGAACTTTCCAACAGTCTCACACTAGCAAGTGGGGAGCCAGGAGTCAAGTCTGGCTCTACCTATTATCCTGAGCTGCCTCCTCCTCTTTAAAAGAGTGGACTTGAGGGGACCAGAATAACTAAGATTAAATAATAGTTCTTTTAAAATAAATAAATTAAAGAAAAGAGCGGATTCTGGGACCAGAGTGCCTAGGTCAGACTTCGGTTTAGCAACTTGCTAGGGAGCTAGCTGCGTGACTCCGTTTCCCTATCTGTAAAATGAACTCAACAATAGCACCAGCCTTAAAGATCATGATGCGGATTCTCTGAGCTGGCGCATGGAAGGGGCTTGGCACAGTGTGTCCAGTCTGAGCTAGTGAATGAGAACGATCGTACTTCTCCAAGGATCATGTGCAACCCTCACGCGAAGGGGGTGCATCTCCCCCTCCATCACCTAGCAGAATTCATGGCTCGCACGTCCAGTGTTCGGAATTTTGCTCTTCCCTTTAATCTAGCAGTGAGCTCAGGGCAATCTTGTTAATTGCCCAAACATTTGTCTTGCCAGCTAGGATAAAGAGACTCTTGCCTGCGCACGAGAAAGACTCTGATAAATACGTGTTACATGAAAAGCAACTGTTTTCAGAGCTAGATGCGACCCTTGGAAATACCTAGACCAGCACTGTCCAGAGAAAAACAGCGTGAGCCAGAAATGCAAGCCACATATGTACCGTCCAGTGTTGTAGCAGTCACTGCTTTCAAAATGTGTCAAGAAACAGGCAAAATTAATTTTAATACTTTATTTTATTTAACCCACTATATCCAAAATATTATCATTTCACTGTGTAACCAATATAAAAATATGGTAGTGAAATACTTTAAATTCTCTCTTTTTTTTGAGAGAGAGAGATTTTTGCTATCGGATATGTGCTCACTGGAGAGACAGAGAAATAGAGAGATGGAAAGAGAGAAATCACCCCCACCCCCGGAGGGGGATGACCATGCCACAATCCCTTCTCCTCCAATCTCCCCTTGAGATTTTGGGCATGCACATACAAGTGCCCAGCGTGAGTTTCAAGCCACCAGATTCGGGACTCAAACCACAATCGACCATATAGGAGTCCGGCACCTTAATCACTACACCACCTGCTGGCCCCAAGTTCTCTCTTTTTTTTTCCACACTGGTCTCACTGATTCCCAAGTCCAGCTGCCAGCACATTTCTGCACGGCCTAGCACAGACGTGCATAACAGCTCTGCGTGGCTGTTGGTGGCTGTACTGCACGGGTGGGTCTGAACCAGTCCTGTCATCTTACGGATGGGAAGACCGAGGCCTAAAGAAATTCCGTGTCTCTTCTCTTTCACTCTTTCAAGCTCTTTAACTTTTTTTCGACTTCTTTTTTCTTCCTCATCTAACCCCATCGATTATTTCTACCTAGGTGAATTTGCTTCATAAATGTTAACTTCCCTCCCTTAACTGAATTTCAGATTTCAGTTGAATAGCAGAGATACTTTCGTGAAGTAAAAGAGGGTAGAAGTCTCTAGGCGTTATCCCCTTTTCTCCTCCCCACTTAAATCATGCCATTTGGTCAAACACATATGCCACACATGGAGTAGACAAAGTGGGTGGCCAAATCTGACCCATATATACATTTTGTTTAGGTCTAAAGGTAAGGAAGTTTCCTATAAAAATTCAGATTGCTGATTTCTCATTAGAAAGATCAGGTGCAAAACTGGCCCACAGTCCCACACAGCTACCAAAGACTACCAAGGAGCTGAGGAGCAGCCACCTGTCTCCTTTCAAAGGGACATTAGCTTTCCAGTTGGCCACGGTCCCCACCCTGCCCTTAAGTAACTCTCTAGACTGAGCGTTGGCTGTCACTGCATTAGGGCAGTGTTGATTTCTCACAAATCCTGTGCACTCAGTATACAACCTGCCTGGTCTCCGAAGACTCTGGAATGAGCAAGCCCTGCTAAATGATAAGTAATATCCACCTCTTGGGATCTGCAACAATCAAGTGAGCTAATCCCACGTGGACAACTGCACATTCGGAGTCCTGAACACAGCAGCTTGAAAAACACCAGGGTGTGTGTGCATGTATGCCTCACATCCCAGGAGGAGAACGGAGAAGGACCTGTGGCTTGGCCATCTCCTATCCCCTGGGCAGGGTGGGGGAGGGGTTCTTTCTCACTCCTCTGACCCCTCTGTAGTCTCTCTCTGGTGAGCACACATGCCTTCTAACAAAAAATTTTAAATCAGTTAAAATAATCATGTCTGACTAAACTCAGCAGAAAATCGGGTGTGACATACTCCACTGTCACACTGTCATTATCTCCGTGTCACCTCCGTCTCCTAGACTATCACCCTGCTTTGCCTCCTCCCCAGCAACAACCCTGTCCTTCACAGCTCTCCTTGGGGACACTACTGAGCATCTCCAGATGGGCGCGGACAGACACTTACTTGAAATCCTCCGGGTCAGGCTGTAGGTGGACTTGGATGTGTCCGAGGACGAGCGTCTCCCATCGGGGGAGTTGGTCCGAGGGGTCAGCGGGACTTCACTGGCTGTGTGGGCAGAATCACCATCTTTGTCACTGCTCCGGCTGGCCATCCTAGAGGAGAAGAGGTCTCAATGGTTGTCAAGGAATCCCCAGGGACTGGCATCCTGGCCCCTTGGGAAGTAAGACCCACGACAAAATGCCTCTCCAACCTGTTTTATGCAACTTGGAATAATGCAGATTTGAAATGGTGTAGAATCCTTAAACTCTCCACAATGTCTTGCTTTTTGCATAAAATGTGAAATGATAGGAAGGGCTATTCCCCAATTTAGAACAATCTGCCAAGAATGTGCTTAATTTCAAGATGGGGTTTGGGTGGAGGGATGTGTAAGTGCAGGCTACTGCCACATGGGGGCGCCACTTTGGCCACGTGAAGACCTGAGCCCTGTCAGTCTTTGGTCTTCACTCTGGCCTAAACCATGTGGTTTTTAGACGCATCCAAACCTCTACAAGTGGCATTTGCTGACAAGCGTCCTGTTATTTCAACAGTCACTGTGTTTATAATTTATCATTTTCAAGAATATCCTCCAATAGTGTCACTCAAGGGCTCTCAGAGTGGGAAGGCTGTGACTATTAAAGGGCCCTGGGAAGCCAGGACTTCAGAATAGGAGTTCGATGTGAAGAAACAGCGAAGAAAGTGCAGCAGCAGCCATGACCCCACATGCTCCTAAGGAAAAAAGACACGCTGAGAGCCTGGGGTGGGGACAGATAAGGAGAAGACCAAACAGGATGGTAATTAAGAACACGACCTCTGGGTGAGGACCCGGTCAGGGTGACCCTAGGCAAGCTCCTTCCTCTCGGCCCACTGCCCCAGCTGTAAAATGGGAACAGCAGCTCCACCTTAATGGCCGCCGTAGCACTGAATGAGTTAACAGGTATAAAATATGTAAGTATAAAAAATGTGACATATTACGAGAGTCTTAGAATAGTTCATGGAAAACACACCATGAAAAACCCATGCATGGATGTCAAAATGTGTTTATAGCAAAATAAACTTGTATGTCAATTTCATTTTTCCATAACTTTTTAAAGTCTCCTTGTAAATGTGTGATGTGTTTAAATATAAAATGTTATACAATAATACCTATAAAACAGCACTTGGTACTGACAGGGTGGGTACTCCATACATTTCAGCTGGTATGACCACAGCAGGGGCGGCTTTAAGACCCCCCCCCAATAAAGCTAAGGAGGGGTGCTGGCCAGGGAAGGAGGGAAGCCGGCAATGCAGCCGAAGCTGCTAAAAACACGCCCGTGAGCCACAATGGCTGTAGACTGCTGCCTTCCCAGACGGCATCCCCCCACCTTGACATTTAAGCCTGCAGGAAAACTCATCTTGAAAAATGCAAGTTTTGCATTCTATGAGGCCCTCAGAGGCATCCTGTGCATGCAATGAGACCGATCGGACGTTCTTCAAGTGATGCCAGGGTCACAGCTGGGACAGGACTGCTGCGTTGTACAGGGGAAAGTGGAATCTGCTCACTTCCTGCTCCTGGTCTGCAGGAGGGAGAGGCAGCAGCTGAAAAGTGGGGGGCAGGGGCAGCGGGGGCACAGACACGGGATCATGCTGTATCTTTCAATCTCTCTTCCCCTGAAATGAAATCAACAGCATCTTCCAAGGAAGACAGGAGCAAACTGTTTTGGGCACAGGGGCACAGAGGGGCACCTGTACACTGTACAGCCCTGGTTCCCAGCTGCCCAGCTTCACTGTGGCAGCCACCTCCTCCAGGAAGTCCCACCAGCCTTCAAGGGTCAGCTTAAACACCATGGCGCCGTCGAGCCTAAGCTGAGTCCTCTCAGACACGAGTGCCTGTGTATGCCTGAGCCACCACCTGCCTCTTCTGCAGCCACAGGCAGCCATGTGGGTCCCAAAAAAAAATCCTGGCCCCTGACCGTCTGGTTCCTTCCAGCATTCGAGTCTCTGCTTCCACGGCATCTTCTCTAAGAGGCTCCCACTGTGTTCCTGTCACCCCTTCCTACCGTCAAGCCCCTACACCAGCACCTCTTTTCCCCTGCTCAACCCATGCATAATGCATCTCCAGTCACGACTTGCTCATCTTCCGTGTCTGACACTAAGCCTATGCCCCGTGCGGGCAGGGACGGAACCTGTCGTATTGACCACTGCTGACCTTACTCTGGAGCGTGCCTGGCACACTGGGGCTGTTCCACACTTCCCTTCTCAATGAACGAATGAACGATGCAGCCTTCTCCTTGTGACTTACCAGTCACTATAACTGTGACTTATCTGTGTCTCGATTATCAAGTGCAAGTGTCATCACTCCTCTCCTGGCAGGATATATGTTGTAATGGTGAGGTCTGCCCTTATACTCCAAGGGACCGGGTGCTGAGCACGAAGTATGTGCAGGTACTATGCTACGAACCACCTGGTCGCTTCATTTCATCCTTAAAACAATCCAGGGGCTGGGCCAGTTGCTGGTGGGGTGGTTAAGGTGTCTGGATCCCACATGGCTGACTGAGTGGTTCAAGCCCTGGACCTGATGGCTTGGAAAACACACTAGGCACTTGAACATGCGTGCTCAAAATCCCAAGAGGAGAATGGAGAAGGGATTGCAGTGTGGCCAAGGGGATGATTTTTTAATTTCTTTCTCTCTGGCAAGTGCACATGCTCTATAGCAAAATGACAACCACCAAAAAATCCCGGAGTTAGTCGTCATAAACCACCCCACCCCACTTATAGAGGGTGTGGAAGCCCTGGTTTAGTGGGAGGAGAGAGAACCAATTTACATCACTGTTGACGGCAGAACTCTAGCTGAACTCAGCAGCGCCAAACTCAGGAGCGCATGCCCACACCACCAAGCCGGGCATCCCTGTAGGAGCACTGCACACAGTGGGTACTCAACAAGTGGGACCCACTGTGGGACAGCTTGGCTTTAATTTGCTCTGAAATGAGAGTCTTTTGGGCATGGTCCTGAAGAAGCCAGTCCGATCGTCAGTTTTTGTGATTCTCACCAGCCCAGTCCAGCTGCAGAAAGCTGGGGAGCCCATGTAACATGAGCGGATTGTCCCCAAGATCACGGTGGAGCACAGAGGACCAGCCCATCCGCCACGTTCCACTCCGCAGAGGCAGGTCCCGCAGCAGGAACGGCACCACGAAGCCTGTACACTTGACATTTCCACTCCCTGCCTGTTTGATAACATGCAACTGCCCACTTGGTAAATAAATCTGGGGAAAACACAAGCTGTAAATCCACTTTGTGTCTGAGTGAACCCACTTCCCCTTTACAGATTTCTCTTACCATTTCGGATTATGTTGAGTGTCAAAAATATGCTAAGTGCAGCCCAGGGTTCGGGGGTGACCTGGTTCGTCCTGGGAAGCATGAAGGCCATGCACAGCCGTTCAGGCTGGGCTGTGTAATTCGGATGGAGCCAGTCATACGGGCCACCGAAGGCATGGCGCTGCCCCGAGTGTGCAGAGTGCTGCTCTGGCTGGAAAGCTCCAGTCCTCTCCACTGTGGTAAACCAAAAGAAGCGTCCACCCAGAGGGTCCTAACCCCTTGCCCCCCAAAAGAGTACCCTGCTTGCACAAAGCTCAGCTGCCAGGGCAAAGCATAACTGTACCCCAACTCAGTGTCAGAACTGAGCTGTGTATCGGAGTACCTGGGGCAAACGGGCGCATGATTACGATTTTCAACGTCCGTCAGGGGTTTCCACTGGCAGAGAAGAAACTCGGATTCCTAATCTGGCTGCAAGACCCTGCAGTCCTGAGCTTGCACGCTCGTTTTCCACTCCTCCAGTTCTTCAGAGGGAGGATGTCCATTTGTGGTGTCTGCCTGCCCTGAGTCTGTTCTCTGGTCTCACTACTGCCTACTGCAGGGCTCGGCGAGCGGCAGAGCCCAATCTGTTGCCTGCTGGTGTGAGCGAAGCGCTGCTGGAGCGCGGTCTCTAGGGTTCGTATGGGCTACGGCAGCTTAGCAAGACAACGGCTGCAACAGAGGCCGAGCAGCCCACAAGGCTACACAGTTAGCTCCTAGTCCTTTACAGAAAAAGGGTGCCACCCTCCAGTCTACTAGTTTGGTTCAGATGTTTCAGGCAGAAATGACCCTTTCCCTGGCCCCAGAGAGGGCAGACAACCCAGCCATGACCCTAACACCATTTCCTCCAAGTGACCTTACTGGGTCAAATGCTTGGCATGTGTCACAAGACAGGCCAGCGAGTCTTTCTTGGTAGTTTTTTGTTTGTTTTGGTAGTGGTGGGTTTTCTTATTTGTCTTTGACTTTTTTTTGTTTTGTTATAAAGAAGATAGACTGTAAGTCTAATCTTGCCACCTGGAGGAAACAAGCTTTAGGCCAATAAAGAAGAAACAGAGAAAGAGGGAGTGAGGCTAGTGACATCATTTAAGTCCCTGGATCCAGCAATACCTGAAACTGTTGTTCCTGAATTGTCTTGTAATACAACCTTATATGCTGGACAGACGTCGATGGCATGCAGGGTGTGCACGCACAGCCCTGGGAAGTGACTAGACTTATGCACTTGCCTAATCTCCTAGGCTAGGCTTAAAACCCTCTGAGCATGCTAATGGGACCCAGCCTAGGAACACGCAACCACAGGGCCTGACACACAGAGCGTACTAAAGAAGCAAGTGTCAAAGAAACAGATGAACTTTTCAGTCCAACGACTGGCACTCTCAGGATCGGGATTTTTGTATCTGCCTGGGGGTGGATTAGCCGCACAACCATAAATTTTCTTTCTTCTTTTAGTCAATAACAAAAGGCAAAAGTCCCTGCTCTTGTAGAGTTGGCATTATGGTGAGCATAGATTTAAAGTCGCTGTGCCAACCTCTGCCACCTGGGGCGCTGGAACATGGGAGTTATCTCTTGATGAGTGAGTTGCCTTCAGCAAACATCTCAAATCTACACACACCTCCCTGCAGGATTCAAGTTACAACTTCTGCATAATGAGAGTTTCTTCCCGCTGCTTTTACATCAGTTTACTGGCTCTCAATGGATACCTAATCCTGGTAGGGAGGCACCCTCAGGAGCTCTAACCACTGTGCAGAGGACCTCCGGCGCATATCCATTTACTGGTAACAGCCCTGTATGCTCTTGTAGCATTCCCACTCTACAGAGGAGGAAACCAAGACCCAAACAGAGTGGAACACATCACAGAGAAACAGTTACGGTTATCGATAAAACGTCAAGCATTCTTAAGTTCTTTACCATACACAAATGTACTGAACTGCAACGACTCTAGGAAAGAAAACCTATTCTTTTTCATTTGCTAGAGGGCATGTGAACTCACTGGAAGGGGGCGTTGAGGAAGCACCCCCCCTGGGGATAGTCATTCTTGCTCCTCCATTTCTCCTTCCTTTCAGGATTTAGGGTACAGATGCACACACATCTGGCATGTTTTCAGTGTGCTGGTCTGGGTCTCCAACCACGCAGTCGGCCATGTGGGATCCAGCCACCTTAATCACCACACCACTGCTTGGCCCAATAAATGCTATTTCCTTTGTCATCCTCCTTTTTCAGATAGGGAATGAAGGCACAAAGAGATCAAGCAACTTGACTTGGGTCCCAGAACAAGCAACTGGTAGTAGGAACAGGATTTGTGCTCACATGGCCTGATACGGCGCAGCATTGCTATGGAAATGTTTGATAGCTTGCTCTGAAGAGAAAAGAAAGGGACTGAGGCATGACCTCCCGGAGCGGTGGGAAAGACGGCACCAGAGGCTGCTGGAGTCTCAGTCCAAGGACTAGGCCAAGATCTCACTGCCTTCCCCACCCTAAAGACCCACCTACTGGCCCAGTGCTCGCTCTCTCTCGAGCCTCCTCTGTGTCACGAGAAATTGCACTCACTGGTTTCCAGCCCTGGCCTCCTTAACTCTGACCACGTCCCTCTCCCAACCAGAGCAGTGGACCAGACACGTGGCTGAGAAGCTTCAAAACTGTGTTCCTAAAATATCTGAGCGACTGGCAGATGGAGATGTTGTATGCAGGCGCGGGAGGAGGACGAATTGGAAATAAAATGAAAGATACCAGAGAGAACATAAACAGCGTTGGAGGACAGGATGGAGCCTGGAGGTGCTTTTCTGCTTCCCTGTTTCTGAAGTGCATGTTCAGATCAGCAAAAAGGCTCGTCTGTTTATTCTAACCACCTCATCAGGCAACCCGCATCAATGGAGCATCTACTACGTGCGGCCCTGGGTCAGGTGCCGCCACGGCTGGTCCCACTGCTGGTTGGAGACTTCTAGAACTCAGCCATCCTTGCAGAATGTAGATGCTCTCTTCCACTCGCAACCACACTCAGCGGGATGACAAGTGCCCACACGCTCAGCATTCCATCATTCATATCTCAGAAGGCCCGATGTGAAGCTAGCCCAACCGAAATCCCACCACCAGCTGGTCGACCAGCGTGCCCAACGAAACGAGGGGCGCCCAGCACATCCTGCACAGCCGAGAGGTCAGGAACTCAACCTTCCCCTCTTTGTGACCCCAAATCTTCCTTCCCGTGGCCCAGACAGCCCTCTCAGAAAAAGAGAAGGAAAGAAAAAAAGGTCTTGAGATGAAATTCAA